AACTGACTTCCATATGTTTTTTGAAAGGTACTGACACAAAAACCGCTCTGCAGATTTACGCAAACTGTGCACACCAGTTTCGCCGTTTATAACTTCATAAACGCGAAACCAGATGGAAGCCAATTCTTATAGATAAATAAATACGTCAACAATAATAACTTCACAGTCTCCTTCTTTCATCAACGCAGAAAAAACCTTCTTCGACAACAGTAGGAAATCACTGACATCGTTCAGCCCCGCCCAGGGTGCAGGAGTTCGTTTGATGCAGTGGCCCATATTTTCGGTTTTATGGAAACAAAAACAAACAACTTTGCTTTGCTGCTTTATTAATTAAATGCAATATATTCATAATGACGTAAACATTTTCCACAAACTTTATCATCAGTGACACTTTTCCAGAAATGCCTAGACCAGACGCCTTGAAGTGAGTCTAACGCTAAACATGGGTGGCCCGATTACTCGTAAATTAAAGATGGCTTTTATTTGTCCTCGGCTTCTCCTGAAATCAGGTTACCAGCTACTGCAGTTGAACTGTGATGTAATATTACCCTCGCCAAAATTTAACATTAGCAGAGCAGATTTTTGTATATAATGTATCGTCTAAATCAAACATTGAAGCGTTGCCATGTCTCCATATGTATTGACTCTGCTGTAAGGACTCGCAGCCATGTTTACAGATCTGTACCACATGTTTGTGACGCCTCCTTGTGACTAAAGTATCTACATTATTGTACGAAACAACAATTAACCAGTTAAAAGATGTTCTATTTGTTTCAGCTCACGTGTGTCCCAAACAATTGCAATATACTTTGTAAGTTGAACTGCAAACGGTATTTACTCTCATAGTGTTACGTGAATAACATAATCAGAAGTTGAGATTCAAGTAAACTACCTTCGAAAATATTCATATCATATAATATAAGATGCTTACATAATTTAAGTAATTTCCAATAGATATGAGGTTGTCCTTTGCAAAATATTTTACTGTAAATTTAATCTTCAGAAAGCTGATTGGAAACATGACAGGGAAAGTTGTTTCAAAAGTCAACCATGGATTGAACCGGAGCTGGCGTTACGGGCTGGTTTTGATCCTGTTGTATGTGTCCATTCATCTAATCCCAGATATCATCTGTATGGGGGAGTTTTGGGAAACAGATAATGTCAGTGTTATGCTGCCTGAGTCTGTGACAACACCTACAACACCAAGGCTGGCTTTACCCTGTTGCAACATGACGTCAGCATTTGCACAAACAGTAGAACACGATCCCGAACGATGCCGCCACCGTAATGTAAGCAGTTCAAGATGCCATTAATAGTCATGTTCTCCCATGAGTTATGATACCACCACATATATTGTCGAAACACATTGTCAGAAAAAGTCACGTTCTCTAAACACAAACCAGCGTACAGATAAAGATTGTCACAACACAGTCAGAGAAAGTCATGTTCTCTAAACACAAACCAGCGTACAGACACAGATTGTAGCAACACAGTCAAAGTCATGTTCTCTAAACACAAACCAGATACAGTACAGATTGTCGCAACACAGTCAGAGAAAGTCATGTTCTATAAACACAAACCAGCGTACAGATACAGATTGTAGCAACACAGTCAAAGTCATGTTCTCTAAACACAAACCAGCGTACAGACACAGATTGTCACAACACAGTCAAAGTCATGTTCTCTAAACACAAACCAGATACAGTACAGATTGTCGCAACACAGTCAGAGAAAGTCATGTTCTCTAAACACAAACCAGCGTACAGACACAGATTGTAGCAACACAGTCAAAGTCATGTTCTCTAAACACAAACCAGATACAGTACAGATTGTCGCAACACAGTCAGAGAAATTCATGTTCTCTAAACACAAACCAGTGTACAGATACAGATTGTAGCAACACATAGTCAGAGAAAGTCAAGTACTGTCATACCTGTGACAATGTCTCGCACTAATGACTGAAACCTATTTTATGAGAGAGTTATGATTACATGATAAGGGCTGGAAGAACTACAAGGATATGTTCTCATAAAAACTGTGTCGTATCTCTCACACAGTTTCAAGGTTCTAAACAAAAGTGGCGATGCTCATGATTCATGCTCCGGGGAAAAGAATGTGGTTGTGATAATACGATTTCAAGAAATCCCGGAACCTACAATTGAACCAGATAAGAGAAATTATCGGACGAAAGAAAGTATACCCCTTTGTATGATGGGAAGCAGGAGAAGGATATTAACTGTGATGTATTTGATACGGGACTGTAAATATGCCTCGGAGACTGTTTTCAGTCGAATAACTTTTGATTACGTTTGTAATGTTTTGGTCAAATGAGATTTGCATGTGTATATTTTGTTTTGCTGGACAGTTTACGGCTGTGCTGGCCCGTGGGGGTACCGGCGCGCCGAGCTCGCTGTCCCTCGTGTATATTATAGGCTGGACAGCAAGCATGTGATGTTCCGAACAGGACATCACATATTCTGACACACATCACTGGTTAGTCAGAACAAAAGAAACGTTTATCTTTACATTACTCAGAAGTGTCAGTTTTACGTCAAATGAAAGAGACCCGTGAAGGTCCCGGGTTAGAATGAATCTTCAGTAACCCATGCTTGTCGTAAGAGGTGACTAACGGGATCGGGTGGTCAGGCTCGCTGACTTGGTTGACACATGTCATCGGTTCCCAATTGCGCAGATCGATGCTCATGCTGTTGATCACTGGATTGTCTGGTCCAGACTCGATTATTTACAGACATATAGCTGGAATATTGCTGAGCGCGGCGTAAAACTAAACTCACTCACTCACTCAAATGAAAGACGAAAATCACAACAGCTGATACACATCACGTTCAGTAGTAAGGTTTTGTGTGGAGTTACTATGAATAAAATATACACACTCAATGACTCACCTGCCCTCCAGCAAGGTGGTAAATAGTACGTACAGTGACTAATTCATGGCACTCCAGGAACTTCACTCCCGGGTAGACTAGACATTCTCCACATGACTTCATTCTATACTTCTACAACCATTAGATACATGCATACCTTACTCCATATCTGATTCTCAAACCACCGTCCTCATCTTGCGCCTTGCCACAAATATTAACAACTAGAACCTTGAGCTCAGTCACCATCAGCTGTGTGGAAGTTGGAGCCCCTTATACATGTGCACTGGCAGGAACATAATGTTTAACTCCTACAGAATGAAACACTCAACCAGAAGAGACAGGACGGTACGTGGGTGATGAAGTGAATATACAAATGGCAAAACGGATCTTTAGGAAGTATCGTGGTTCAAAACAATAAATGACGGCTGACAAATTGAAACAAACAAACCTAACAGCTGAGCTTGACATTCAAGAATACTTCAAGACAAACTATTGTTGAAAGATCCATCAATCACAAGCAACACCAGGTCAATATTTTTAAGATCTTGCTGTTTCCAAAGATGATTGAATATATGGCATATCGTTTGATACTGAGTCGTCACAGCGTCGTCTGATCTGGCTTCTGTCGAATGATCGCAAGATCAGACCTTTACAAATAGACAAGCACGGTACATAACGGCTAAGCCAGTACACATGTTCTGGGACTGATTGGGGTCATGTCTATAGATCAATAGTATAATTGGATAACTGGTCTTGAACGCAAGTCTTACGTTTGGGCCTGTGTCCAGAAGGACACACTATAGGTCAAACAACTCCAGAACACATGGGTAGTGGTAAAAGAAACAGGACAGCAACAGGTATCGTGGTTAAACGTTCTCATTCACGCCACGCCACGCCACGCCACGCCACGCCACGCCACGCCACACCACAACACAACACAACACAACACAACACACACCACACAACAACACACCACACCACACCACACCACACCACACCACACCACACCACACCACACCACACCACACCACACCACACCACACCACACCACACAACACCACAACACAACACAACACAACACAACACAACGGGGACGGTGGGGTAGCCTAGTGGTTATTGCGTTCGCTTGTCACGTCGAAGACCCGGGTGCGATTCCCACATGGGTACAATGTGTGAAGCTCATTTCTGGTGTCCCCCGCCGTGAAATTGATGGAATATCGCTAAAAGCGGCGTAAAACTAAACTCACTCACTCACCCCCTAACAACACAACAGAACATGTACACATCATAACGCCACTCCACACCAAGCCACACCCACATTACGGAACTGAGTAAATGAGGAAGAGCCCCATAGTGCAGTGATGTACGTTGACATCAATCCCTGGAATGACAACAACCGTGACGATCTGGCGGATGGGTGTCATACCTCCTCATCTGTTCATAGTTCCTGCTGGCGACGGTGACTGACAAGGACGAGTGGGTTATAAGTGGATGGTGTATCGCCTGGTAACTGCGTACACCTGCACCCTGACACGAAGCAAAATCATCTGACAACGGAATACACCTGCACATTGACACGCAGCACAATCATCTGGCACCGGCATACACCTGCACCCTGACACACAGCACAACCACCTGGCACCGGCATACACCTGCACATTGACACACAGCACAACCACCTGGCACCGGCATACACCAGCACCCTGACACGCAGCACAATCATCTGGCACCGGCATACACCTGCACCCTGACACACAGCACAACCATCTGGCACCGGCATACACCTGTACATTGACACACAGCACAATCATCTGGCACCGGCATACACCTGCACCCTGACACACAGCACAATCATCTGGCACCGGCATACACCTGTACATTGACACGCAGCACAACCATCTGGCACCGGCATACACCAGCACCCTGACACACAGCACAACCATCTGGCACCGGCATACACCTGTACATTGACACACAGCACAACCACCTGGCACCGGCATACACCAGCACCCTGACACACAGCACAACCATCTGGCACTGGCATACACCTGCACCCTGACACGCAGCACAATCATCTGCCAACGGCATACACCAGCACCCTGACACACAGCACAATCATCTGGCACCGGCATACACCTGCACCCTGACACACAGCACAACCATCTGGCACCGGCATACACCAGCACCCTGACACACAGCACAACCATCTGGCACCGGCATACACCTGTACATTGACACGCAGCACAACCATCTGGCACCGGCATACACCAGCACCCTGACACACAGCACAATCATCTGGCACTGGCATACACCTGTACATTGACACGCAGCACAACCATCTGGCACCGGCATACACCAGCACCCTGACACACAACCATCTGGCACCGGCATACACCAGCACCCTGACACACAGCACAACCATCTGGCACCGGCATACACCTGTACATTGACACACAGCACCACCGGCATACACACCAGCACCCTGACACACAGCACAACCATCTGGCACTGGCATACACCTGCACCCTGACACACAGCACAATCATCTGGCACCGGCATACACCTGTACACGCAGCACACCATCGCAGCACAACCATCTGGCACACGGCATACACCAGCACCCTGACACGCAGCACAACCATCTGGCACCGGCATACACCTGTACATTGACACGCAGCACAACCACCTGGCACCGGCATTCCATCTGGCACATGACGGCATACACCAGCATCTGGCACCGGCATACACCAGCACCCTGACACACAGCACAATCATCTGCCAACGGCATACACCAGCACCCTGACACACAGCACAATCATCTGGCACCGGCATACACCTGCACCCTGACACACAGCACAACCATCTGCCAACGGCATACACCAGCACCCTGACACACAGCACAATCATCTGGCACCGGCCTACACCTGCACCCTGACACACAGCACAATCATCTGGCACCGGCATACACCTGTACATTGACACGCAGCACAACCATCTGGCACCGGCATACACCAGCACCCTGACACGCAGCACAATCATCTAGCAACGGCATACACAGCACCCTGACACGCAGCACAACCATCTGGCACCGGCATACACCTGTATATTGACACGCAGCACAACCACCTGGCACCGGCATTCACCAGCACCCTGACACACAGCACAATCATCTGGCACCGGCATACACCTGCACCCTGACACACAGCACAACCACCTGGCACCGGCATTCACCAGCACCCTGACACACAGCACAATCATCTGGCACTGGCATACACCTGTACATTGACACGCAGCACAGCCATCTGGCACCGGCATACACCAGCACCCTGACACGCAGCACAATCATCTAGCAACGGCATACACAGCACCCTGACACGCAGCACAACCATCTGGCACCGGCATACACCTGCACATTGACACGCAGCACAATCATCTGGCACCGGCATACACCTGCACATTGACACACAGCATAATCATCTGGCACCGGCATACACCAGCACCCTGGCACGCAGCCCATGTCACCGGTTCGTTCTTGGCAGATTTCACCAAGGTCATGTGACCAGCATCACCACGGCCCTACCTCCCATATTGAGCTAACACAACACTCTCACTCTCAATATATGTTTCTTGAACACATTTTGAAACGTGAGCACCTGATGTGTTTCTTGAAACACATGCTTCCTTTGTTGTCCTCCTTCTGTATATACTCAGAATATAAATACATAATAAATTTCTACCAATGTCTAATCATCTCCGTGAGACCGTTGCTTCTACCGTGAATGACCTACAGAATATCCTCGTTTTGAATAGTCTCATCTACTGTATATCTTATTCAGAGGTATAATTATATAATTATATTCTGATCATTTTACATAGCCATTTGATTCTACTTTGAATGAACTGCATAATGTCCACGAATCTGTGGCCTCATCTGCAGGTATATTTTATTCAGAGGTACATCTTACATCCGGGACCTGTGACATGACTGACTCACCTGTGCACGCACTGAGATTAGAGGAGAAATGACACTTTATACATAAACAACAACACTGAGAGCTGTCTGAGAGTTGTAATGTGAAAAGAAAATTGCACATAGACGGAGAACCAAAAGCGATATTGGGCCAAAGAGTATTATTACTCGAGTAAAACACAAAATACATGGCAAGTGGTGACACGAGAAGGCCAAGCCACTCTCGCCATTATCTCCTGCTTTGATGTCATCTGTATACCAAACTGCCCGGATGTGACAACTAAAACCATTGCTCCTTACAATGAACCACAAATCACCCGGAGGGCATATCCTGTTTGTCTTCATCAAGACAAGCCTGCTTTCAGGTAACACTCAGAGGTATCTTCCAGAAGTAGCGGTTTTAAAGCCTGCGGTTCAATGGATATGTTGTGTTGCATGGCCGCCATCGTAAAACACCTACTATGATGCCAGTAGGACTTTGGTACAATCACCCGTTTACCATTCAAGACCTGCAGGTTTCGCACTGAGACATTTCTCTGTCAGGAACAAATATGGTCGAGTAGCTCTGAATTCTCGGTGCTGGCAAATGTCGTAGGTATGAGAGAAACCCATGGAACAGGGATCCAATCCCAGATTCGCCCTGACTGTGATTGTTGGGTTATCAGTATATCGAACACATTCTCGTAGGTTTCATCAAGAATGGTTAAGACTTGTTATGCTTTCATCCCTCAGCAAACTGACACCCTTCAAACTACATTCTCTAAACGAGTCTAGGATTTAGATAGACTTCTTAAATACTGTATGCAACAGCAACCTACCGTAATATCCGAGGTGATGGTGATGTTGGAGCCATAGCCAGTGCTAGAGTTGTGTATTGTGGCCTAACTGGCGAGACGATATATCCCGATACCGGTTTAATGAGGCGAGACGATATTTCATGAAAGTATCGGCAAGGAACCTGCGAGACGATTATCATCACGATACAATGGTGGCAATACGATACGTATCCCGATACTTTACAATTTCTAAAAATAAAACAGATATGATAGATAAAATGACTGAAACTTTATTTGTTATACAGCAGAACTTGTGTTGCAGTCACACACACTTACAAAGCTGTTGATCTAATACCATTTCAGCATTTAATGCTTAAGAAAGTAGTGAAACATATTCAGTATACCTTGATGGTTTTTGTACTTTAGTTTCCTTAGGAAAGTTGTGTTTCTACACCAATGCTTTCACAAACAATTAATGTAATGTATATCAGAATTCAGAATCACTGAAAAAACTCTTAAGTCTGCTTTCTAAATTTTACCTTATCTTTGTTCTTAACAAAGCTAAGGCATCATTCATAGTTGTCAATAAATGATGTTATTTGTCAAACAACTAAAACTTATTTCAATTAGTTGAAGGCAAGTATTCTACAGTTCACAGAGTTTGAAAATGTTAACACTCTTTCATTTATACACTAACTCCTTAGTTCATGTAACAAAGATAACAGATACAAACAAATTTTGGGTTCAATTTGTTTTTAAAATTCAGAAGAATTTTAAAGAGCCTACCTTTCCTATCCCTAATGCAATATTCCTTATAACGTTCAGCTGAGCTCAACGAATAAACCCTTAAACAGTCGAAACCTTTAAATACTGGATACAGAAATACAACCATTTCTTCAAAGATATCAGATTAATTGTCACCAAAATTACAGTTGAATGGATATCACAAAATCATAATAAGATCATAGGAAAAATTCAAATCTTTTTGGGGGTATTGAATGTGCTTTCTAATTTGTTTATATATGTTTTTGAGTAAATTTCGTAAATTAGTATCGGGATATATCGTCCCTTGTGGCGATACATCGATATACCATGGACCCTCGCGATATGAATATCCTGATATATTGCCTAAATGTGTTTTGTATCGATGCATTCGTATCGCGTAGTTGACAATGCAAACATCGATACTCTCGATGAATCGTTACACCACTTACATCCACTGAACAGTTGGGAGACACTGAGACATGACTCGGGTTTGAGGGAAGAGTCAATATAGTTCTACGTAGCTCTCAGCAATATCGGAACAAATATCACCACGGGAGTTAAACAATTGGCCTCACTCACTGAACCCGATGAATCCTAGTCTGCAGCCCACGAGCAAGCACTTAAACCTTCTGACTTCCCTACCGACGTTAGGTTTGGGAGACGACGGAAGGAAATACAAAAATGTTATCAATCAAAGATTTCTTGTCTCTCTGTTGAATGTTATTAATCCAGCTCTGGTTATTTCTACTGATACAGGGGGCGGTGGGGTAGCCTAGTGGTTAAAGCGTTCGCTCGTCACGCCGAAGACCCGGGTTCGATTCCCCACATGGGTACAATGTGTGAAGCCCATTTCTGGTGTCCCCGCTGTGATGCTGCTGGAATATTGCTAAAAGCGGTGTAAAACAATACTCACTCACTCTATTGATACATACATTTTAAACTTCTCTGGCCTTTGATAGGTTCTTATTTTACTGGTTCCAGTACAACTCACATGTATTATGTAAGTTGTATCTGTTTAATAAACAACCAAGCTCCCCTCACCTGTACTCATCCCTGTGTGAGTCACCTTGCAATCTTCACGTCAGTACAAATGAAGGTAATTATTTCCATGTCGGCCTGAGTGCTATCTACAGATACTTCATGACGACGGCCGTTAAAGCATGTTACCGAGTAGAAAAACTCCTCAAGTTGTCTGGCGGAGAGACAAACAAGATCCATATTGCCTTTCATGTCAATACCTCGCGTCTCTTAACTGCTCATTTTATGGTATTCCTTGTCAGTACAAATAATTAATCTCAAAGTGGCCATGAAGAAATTGCGGAGTCACATAACCTTTATCTGTTCACTAAACTGACAAGTAGTGCACACCCTTCATCTCCCAATAAAACACTGAACGCCACACTTCAGGAGTCTGAGAGGCCACTCGTCAGTTTCATACGAAGGTCGAGATGAAGTGTAAAAATGCTGAGACGGTATTCAGGTTTGTTTCGGTACAGGTTCTAGTTTCTTTATCAAACAAGTGCTTGATAATGGTACACCTGCTTGACAAATGCACCATCATCTCCGTATACAAAGAACAGCTCTTTCTTGATCCTACGGGTTCAACTCCATCACTAACCGATATCAGGAAGTTACCAATCCTCGCGGCATGACGTCACCCGTCTGACACCCAGGGCATGGAGTATCACCCACCCTTCCACCTGAACATGTTGGGGGTGGATGACGATGATCTGAAGCTCTGGGCACAAGGACACGGAACTGCCACTGGAACTGCAACTATGCTTGTGGAAGGTGAGCATATACACTAAGCCTTCCTCAGTGTACCTGAATACACAAAGCTTTTAGAAAATTGTCAAATTGTCAAATATTATGTATGGGTTTGAACTTTCTTAGTTAAGTACAAATTACTGAAATTACTAACATCTCTGTGAACGTGTTATCTCAATTTTAACATTTAGTATTCTTCGTGCGTATTGGCGCCTTCAGCTCAGTCTTCAGCTCAGTCTTCAGCTTCCAGATCAACCTTGTGTCTGCTGCGTTAACTTCAACCAGTCATGCTGGGATGTTGTATCGCCACACTACATACATCCACAGCATTCTGGGTAATAAGCTCGCAACTACTTTCAGATTATGTTTTAATGAGCACCCGGACAAGGTGGTACTGAAACAGCGTCGACAATCAGAACATCATGCTCAACGTTCATTGGTAGATGTGTTTTGTATTTTCTGGTTTTATGTTTCTGTTGTAATGCAAACGTGACTTTGAAGTTTGATAAATTACCACATAAACACAACAGGAACACATGCTCTATAACAGTTAGAGTGGAATGGTTGGAACAGAAACTCGTGCTACTGTGCACGTCAGGCTGTTTCTAATCAGATTACAACCAACATTTCTCAGATCCTGGTCTACTCCTGTGGGACAGGTGCGCGCGCATACCGGGCTGCTCTACTGTTCGTCATATCACTGCAGCATTTGTTCTAGAATTTATACTTAGAAGGGGGTGACTAACCACAGGACGGGAATT